CGAGTGTCCACGATATCCGCTTCAAAATAGCTTCACTGTGGGCAATTAATTCTCCATTTCGTGAATAACACAAAGAATGCTCAATTTCCATTTCATGCAGCTGCGCTAAGGAACTGCACGTTAAGTAACAGACTTTTCTACGAACACAAAACGATGTCATCAGCGACAATTACTGTTTGGAGCTTTGTGACCATCCATAGAAAAGAATCAACATACATTTGTGAACTCAGTTTTAGAAAATGCTGACTCATTGGCTCTATGCCGATTAGCTTTTGAGTTAGTAAGGCAAGCATCCCTTCAGCATCCATAACAAACCGTTGTTCGATACCCCCTTATAAAGCAATGTTTTGAGCGTTCGAATCCAGAAAACACCTTGAAACAATGTAATACGGACAAATAACAGAGAATAAAGCAAGATTATCGTTTGCTCTCAAAAGTAGCAGTTGGTCCAAAATATTATATCCTAAAAGACTTGTAGTTCAAAATTCTAACATTGTGCTAAGAGGCATTCCATCTTCTCAGTGCAGCCGCCATATCGGCAACTCTCTCTTGCTGTAGCACGGTCAATTCCTTCTGCATACGCTCTAAGTCCACTGGTTTGGCTGTTTTAGACGGCGACATCATGCCATCACGTGCTGCTGCTGGTTTCTAAAACCTCTCACTATAAAATGCAGATCAACACAAGAAAAGAGATGTTAGTTCACGTGGAAATGTAGAGGGGTTACGGAAACATTTGCAAATAATCGGTCTGGCAAATGCTGTTGTGAATGATGGTGCGAACATGAAACAATTAAAAATAACCAGTGGCATACTTCCATTCCAATCGGCCTAAGATCCTTCCAGTCAAGAGATGCTGTAAGATGATGTCGCACTTGTCCCAAATAGTAAACGGCATTAGTTCCATCTCGATATAACGCTCCCTCTCCAAATCGGCCACACCCATTTTGCATAGCATGAACGTCCCGGGCCGTCTCAACCATCACAACACCCTTCAAATCAAATAAAGAAACGTAAGTAATCTATAACAAGGGCACTTTCAGTAATATGGACTTATATTCAAATTTTAAATGTATTTTGACTGCTGATCACGAAAATCATACTCGACTCGAACATTAATGTCTGACTATGTATAGGTTTTTCGATAAGAAGTGAGATGACAGATATGGTTGAGAATCATCTAGTGGGGTAGATTGATACGATAGCGCTTCGCTTTGGAGGTAGCAAGAGTACGACAAAAACGAAGCTGCAGTTCGCTTGGATTTGTCTAAAAGTGTTGTTTGACAAACAATTACTGTAACAGCGTCTTTACATAGATATATCGTTTAGGACGAGTATGATTTTCATCTGGGAATAAGACAGTTTTTCGCATCCCAGTTAGGCTCTGACTGATGTTACTGCTACACCTATTGTGATTATAGAAGTTAACAGAAGTAAAAGAACTGCCTTGAAGAGAAACCTATTATCATTACATAAACATCCGCTATGGCAAGATGGACAACTACGATTGACTTACAGAAAAAAAAAACTTTGGAACTCATAGTAAGCATGTCAAAAAAAAGCGCTACCGAAAAAATAGAGGCGATTATCGTGAACAGGTTGTGAAATAACTGACTAACTTTCTAAACTTTGATAAACCTGGATTAGCAATACGAAAGATGGAAACGAACTACTGTTCATTTAATACCTGATGCTGGTTTTCTGACGCTGTGTGGGCCACATCCATAGAATGGCCACCGGCACGAAGATACACGCGACCTCCTCGTGTCACCACTAACTTTCCAATTTTGCGTCCTGCCGGTAGTTTCAACTGCTCCACTGTCGGCTTTTCAGAGGAATTGGCTCCATTACTTGGTATGAACTGAATAACATTTTACATCGCCGAACA